AGTCACGGAGCTAAATCCGGCGATAAGGAGGGTGGTCAAGGCGAACAATACTTTTTCAGCCAAGAATTTGCGAACGATCTGCTTTTTGTGCGCTGAGGGCATTGTCGTGCAACAAACACCAAGTTCCTTGGTTGCGGTATTCAGGCCTCACCGAACAATCCTCGACCATAAACGAGTTAGAACCAAAGTAGTAATGTGCGTTCACCATTTGACGTTCTGGAGCAAATTCTTTATGTAATTCCTTTGGAATCAAAGAAAGCTGTGAGCAGTGTCTTGGCATTTTCTGCATTCGTACTTTTTTCGTTTCGGCGTTTCTGGACTTTTCCATCCGAGCTCTAGTGCTTTGTAAGTGGCTCGTATTGAAAACACCATGTTTCATCACCGGTTACGATGTATGACAGGAAGTCTGCGTCCTCATGGCGCGATCGTTTCATGTCTCTGCAGTGTTCCACTCTGCAATGCTTTTTGTCGTTCGTGATGAGTGGGCACAAAGTGACAACAGATCATCTTTTTGACCAGATTTTCAGTCAATATGCGATGCACAGTTGTTTTAGGAATTCCAGTGAGCCCCTCGATTGACTGGTAGATGCACAACGTCATTTTCGAATACTTTCAGCCACTTTTTGAACATTCTTTCTGACTGAACGGTCGCTGATGCTCGGGAGTTCCTTTTTAAAGCTTTCTCTTTCATCACGAAATCTTGCATACCACTTAAAAACGTTTTTACGACTCATTGCTTCACTACCATAAACAATTTGTATCATTTCAAAAGTTTCTGAGGCACTTTTACCCACTTTGAAACAAAACTTAATGTTGGCACGTTGCTCCATTGCTCTTTTCACGACCGAGGGTCAAAACATACTGTTGCAGTTTTTTTTAAACCAAGCAGTCTGTGATGCCAGTGTTGTTCCTTTTAAAACGGAAGGTAGTCGAAACACAACACTACTTAATTCCTGTATCAGATCACAGATTATGCGATTGGTTCCGCGAATATAAAATCAGTCACCTTTTCTATGGGACGGACTGTGTACGTCAACGAACTCTATGTTTAAATATATATATACCCCACACTACCAGTCGCACGGCAAAATGAGGCCTGTGTCTCCCTTTTAAGCGAGTTTTGTTCTGTGGAAAACATTTGGAGTCTTTTTTTTTATTTTTTTTAGAAAATTAGGTTTTTAATACACAGCGTTAATTTTAAACAAAAATTACGCAACACTACTCTTTTTAAATGTACATTACCTGTTTTAAAGTGCTGATTTTTAAACAAATTTTCATTAAGGGTCTATCTTCCATTTTCTAATTTTTAAATGTTAGGATTTTCAATTTTCGAATACACATTTTTTCGGAACTAGACTAGAACAATTATTTACCATCCTTTGAAACAAACGAGAAGAAAATTATAAGACAAAATTTGGAGCAGCTACAGTAAAATTTAAAAAAAACACCTATATTTCACGCAAAATTACGCGTAAACTACTACTAATATTCTCGAAAAATTATACATGACCATACTTCAAGATGCCTTTAAAGAAAATATTTCATTAAGGATCTTTTATTAAATCTTCATCGTAGTTGAAGGAAGACTCCGAAAAAATTAAACTTTCGTAATTTTCGAAAAAAACGGGGATTTCAAAGTAAATGAGACCTTCTCTATTCTCTTAGCGTCCTTTACGCTAAGAACCAAGTTTATTTAAAATATTTGGAGCCATTTTGAATATGTTGAGGCTTCGTATACTCCAGTAAATAAAGTAACTCCAAAAAATCCAAAATCTGTTTCTAACACGGAGGGCCTCGAGTTCAATCAAATCAATTTTGGAAAAAAATCGGCTGATCGATTAGGCGCCAGCGTTGACCACTGACGGACTCGAGACGCTTCTGTCAATCGTTTTGGGTATCAAGGGCCCACAACGTGGATTCTGAGTTCTCCGCGTTGTAAGAGGAAGTAATTTACGACAAATAGGAACTAGATTTATCCTCTTATTCTTTACTAGGGCCCGGCAAGACGTTTTTTAGTAGAAAATTCGTCGGTTTCCAGAGCACGTTTACCATACTTCCTCTTCTTACGAATCAAGTGCGAAAAGTTAAAAAATAAATATCGTGATTTGTTTATTGCAGACCTTGCGCAATCATAATGTTGTCCTTAAAAGAGCACAGTTGCCTTCTTGATGCTGTATTTTCCTGCATCTTTCCTCACCACTCAGTGATTGACTACGACTAGGCCTACTTTTCCATCTGTTGTACAAAATATCTTCTGCAACTGAAGACTGTACAAGTAGTTTGGAAATTATAACACAAACATCTCAGAACTGTAACAATTTTCGTTTCTGCTTCAAAATGCAATCTAGATTTTACAGATTCCTGGTCAAAGACTGTAGAGAGAACTCTGGAAAATGTAAATTTAAGGTCAGCATCAGTAAGTTGTGTCAAATTAAGAATATTTGCATTACTTATCAACCTCTTCTTGTAAAATATGACAATTGAGCATTAACTCTTTTTTTTTTTTATTGCCTTCTTGAAAATTCTCCATCATACCACATCTTTCAAATTGCTTCTGAACAATAAAATGAATTTTCTTCTTCATTCCATGTTACGTAACCCTACAGTTGGTGTTTTTGGGAAAAATACATACTGCATCATTTGACAAACCAACAGAAACAAGAATCACGTTTCAGTATGGTTTCAGAGATTACTTATCATTAAGGGATTATTTAACATTAATATAGTGAAGGGTGGAGCCATTAAGTGTCTGCCTTAAACTATGAAAAATATCCAGTTAATCGTTATTTTAAAAACAATAAGTTAACCAGTATTCTTGCACCACTGATTATTCAATAAATGCAATTTATGACTCATTTAAAAAACATAAATCAAAACGACACTTTGGTATAAAACCGGTTCAAAGATATTTGTGCAATAAATTGTTAACTTCTATGCCTCTTACATCTTGTACAACCAACATTTAAATAAATTTATGTATTCATTACATGAATTCTTTCAATAATACTTATTACATTAAGAAACACTTATTGTCATATAATTTCTGGGAATACAAACAATTCCTCTTAGAATTCAAGCTTATGATTATTCAACTGAAACTGCTCTATTCACCTTTGTGAATGAAATTAGCATGAATGAGAATCGCATTAGAGCAAAAAGAAAATCCAGTTGGTCTCTTTCTCGACCTGTCAAAAGCCTTTGACATGATAGATCACACAATTCTATTGTCAAAATTAGAATCATATGGAATACGAGGGATTGCTTACAATTGGATAAAATCATACCCATTTGACCGAAAACAAATAGTAGTATTACCTTACCAAAAAGACAACAAAATAAATAACCATCACTCTGAGCCAAGGAATGTGACATATGGGGCCCCGCAAGGATCCACACTAGGCTCGATTTTATTTCTTATATGTGTAAATGACCTGCCATCAATAATGGAAAACAACAAAACTGTACTTTTTGCTGATGACACTAATATAATATTCTAAGAAAGAACAAACAATGCTTTGCAAGACAAAGCCAATTTAGCCATCAACAAGCTAGTTCAGTGGATTCACCATAACAAACTAATCCTAAACTGAGACAAAACAATCACAATACCCTTCTACAACTCCCACTCAACACAACAATACTCACTTAATTTAAAATTAGAAGGAAACAGCATCAGACAAGCACAGAAAACAAAAAATCTCGGAATCACCATACAATCCAACCTCAAGTGGAACTCTCACTAAAGAATATGTCAATTGGCAATTACATTTGCTCTTAGAAAATAATAAGACCAGCACCATTGAATAAGCAAACGTACAGTTACTTTGCAAATGTGCATTCTATTCTCAAATACAGAGAAAAATATGGGCCAAGCACAAGAGCTAAACAAACACTCAAAATACAAAAGAATTCATTCGTACATAAAAATACAAAAGAACAGCGTCCTGCAGACCTCATTTCAAAAAAATTACATACCTTACACTGCCTTTACTTTTAATTTATGAATTATCATGTTTGTAAAGAAAATCTAGAACAATGACAACTTTACAAATTCTACTCAAGTTCACCTATAACACAAGGCAAGCTTGTAACCTTTATCAACCAATGTGTACAAGCACAGTATACCAAAAGAGTACATTCTCTTCAAGTATACAATTCTTCAACAAATTACCAATACATCTGAGAAACACAATAGGCTTGTACAACTTCAAAAAAAAACTTACACTTCCTTGGGGAAAAACTTTTTTATAGCATTCAGGAATACCTGACTGACTAACATGTGCAATGTGATTTCAGGTGCTGCAGTAGGACTAGGTTTAGAAATAGGAAAAAATCTGCCCATAACCTGCCTCCTCCCCATTTCAAGATACTATCAAGGAACATACTAACACTGTTAAACCATATGTAGCTGTTACCATAATTGTTATAATGTAGTTAGTATACTTTTATTATATTATAAGTAATGTTATCTATTATTATTATTAAGTAGTAGCAGTAAAATCACTCAAGAAAATGATATTCTAAAAATGAAATGTTATAAATCTTGAAACGCTAAAATATTTTAAATTAAATTAAAGTCAGTCAAATGTTCAACTAATTGCTGTTAAAAATAATTATCTTTTCTGTAATATCTTAATATATCTGTAACAAGTATTGCATCCAGGCCAATGACCCCATCTTGATCAGGTTTTTTGTCCAGTTTCCCTGGTCCTTTGAGCAAATGCTGTGTTGGCCCCTTGTTTTGCTTCAGGACAATAAAAATAAATGTAACTTCACTCGTTGCTCCCAAGATGTATTTATATTATATCTGATTCGTCATACACGATTGTAATTGTATATGAGACTCAATAAATATTATTATTCATTAATATATCTGAGCATAACTACTTCAATTCTTACTCCGTATTTGAAGCAAACATTTTTAGGGACATCTTAAATAAAGTAAATAAATATTAATATTAGACTTGAACTAAGTTATTTGAATACATTTGCTTTTCTTTTATTTACATAGCAATTTTTTATGTACAATGAAATAAAATACACATCTGTACATCTTAATAGGATGTAGTCAAGAATAAACAAAATTGTATTTCCTTGAACTTCTAGAATATGGCCTTTGTGCATTGTTTATACAGCCATGAGAGAAGGAAAATAAAAATCGTGACATTGGGATAATCAAATAAGGTTATGATAAAATGCCAAATGACCTTGTCAAGACATTCGAACATAATAGTATTATGTCCTATACAAATCTCCAGTAGGGTAATTGCATTAAAAAGGAACTAAGACCAAAAAAATTTATTTTTTGTAATGAAATTGCCCACAAGATGGACAAAAAGTCACATTACACAAAAATTATTGCATATAAAATTTGTAAAATAATGCTGTAAAAATGCACATCAATTCATACAGATCACATATTTTATAGCATTCATCAAAACACTAAAAATATTTTCTATTTACAAGTTAGTCAGTCATATCGACCAATTACCTTCAATGTAATTTGATGGAAATTGCACTGTAAATGTACTGTACATTAATTTTTCTAAAGCTTTGAATGGCAGTTGAGTCCGTCAAAAAAACAGTTAATCAAAAACATTTATCTTCCCTGATGCAATAGTTGGAACTAGATGCTCCACAGCTCTCAAGGAACTGAATGTATCGACATCTTATGTTGTTGCACTTACAAAAAGTAGTAAATCAGGTAATTACAAAACTATATAAATATTTATAAAAGTAAAAAATTGTTCTAAAATTTGAAATAGTTATGTATTTTCAAATTTAATAAACTCAAAAAACACACAAGTTGGAACTTTACACATTTACGTATATATCCACACAATTGCACAACTAAATCCTATTCTCATGCCTGTATTACATATTTTTTTTGAACGACTGATCAATAATATACAATTACAAATTACATACAATTTCTCCAATACCTAATCACATAATTAAATGCAGTCATAAGATAACTTCAGAAAATAAGGCTGAAAGGAATAGAACATTTAAAAATTCAATAATTGGTAAATATACACCAAATACAGGCACTTGCATAAGGAGAAGATTGTACACAATGTTGGAGAAAGAAGAAATAAATAATTCATGCCCAAATTTTCTCAGCTTCCTGAATAGAAAACACATTAAGTTCACTGCCAATAAAAGAAATAGAGCAAGCCCATTTCACCAACATTCACCGACGCTCCCCCCTAGGTCCACTCCTGGAAGCTCCCTTGCCTCTCTGACTTGTTTTAGGTTTACCGTTTCCACTTGTCTCAGAAGAAAATCTTGTATTCCCTGATGGTACTTTAGATGATACTGAGTTTTGTTGGACTGGAGTGACTGACTGTGCTTGAGCACTTCCTGAGTGGCGTAAATTACCGTTATTATTTCCATTATTATTCCCTGAAACGTTACTATTGTTTGTCGAAACACTACTTTGATTCACTAATTGAGAAACTAATGATGAATTAGGTTCACTCATGTTTACTTGTTCATTGAACACCATACAAAACTCACCAATTTTTTGTATGTCACCATTCTTGCCCGAATATAAAGTAAGGCAGTTTCGCCAAACTGAGGCATACCCTTTAGTTAAGCAAATTATATCACCAGGCGCAATCAACTTGCCTGGCTCATCCCAAATTGACACGTTAATACTTGCAGTGGCATCTGCAACTTTACAGGTCCGAACTTCTCTATTTTCCTTCGTAACCGTAGGGTGACCGACTTCCAAAACAATAAATATTACATTAAGATTTTTCAGGCCTGGACGAATATCCTTTATTGTGATTAATTCCAACGTTCGTTCCATCGCTTCCTAAATGCTGTTTTGTTGAGGAAGTTCGTTTCGATCACCAATGCGTCTGTCACCGACAAAATCTACAAATACGTACAATACTCTTTGCTCTGCCTGCAGTCTTATACACCGTGGTCTCTTCTACAAACTCTCTGGTGTTCACACGTATGCAAAGACGTTAAAGCCACTGGGTAAGAAGATCTCGCGCGTATGCTGCAAAATCACAGAGAATGTAGAACCAGAGAATAATCTCTGCCAACCATCAAGATTGTAAGGAGGAGATCAGTAAGTCTACATGACTGTAAACGTCGTAGAGGAGATTATTAGTAAAGGAGAAAGGTTCACCCGAGAGGATATTTATTCGTGGATGAGATTCAACTTTGGTGGTAGGTGTATGAACTGTTTCGGGATACATAAACTTCAACGACATCAGGCGGGCATTGAGAAAATCTTTTAAGGAACCTTCGGGAAATAGCCAACAAGATCATGTATCATGTGTCTTTTCACAATGGCCAAATCAACGCCATACACACTTAAAGTGAGCTGGCGTAGTCCCTCTGTACACGTAACTTAATATTTCAATTTAATCATAGTGGCACTTTAAGGTCAAGTAACTAAGAAAGAGGAGGAAAACTTTCATCCAATCGGGAGATTAAAGTCATAGTCTGACAAAGCTTGAATGACTATGATCGTGCGTGATTGTTACTTGAAAGTCGACGCGCGCGCAAACTGGCGTGTCCTGCGAAGTTATAGGTTGAAAGAGTCTTTCAGGCTATAGTAAATTATTGCCTGAAAGGGTTGCCAGCTAATTTTCGTGCATCGCCATTACTATAAATAACCTTCTAGCCTACCCAAGCCGTATAGGACAATATATTCATCAATGCTCATACTCTGTGGCGGCTGACCTAGTGACTAGTGGGTGGGTAACGTGGTCTTGATCTGTCGAAGGTTTCGTTGGTAGGTATTTCCGTACCTCCTGAGGAATGTGTCATTGAAATAATTGCGCAATGTTTCTCGTTAGCCGTAATAAAACGAATTCGCGCGATTCCTGAGTATTTGTCTACGAAGACTATCATAAATACTTATTGTTTGTTATGAAATGTGGTATGAATGGTTTAGTTTACAATTTTGGAGCATGAAAAGCATGCCTCAAAGAAGTGGCCACTAGATTTTATGAAACAATGCAAGTCTCTGGAGAATGAAGAGCTGAGCATGCCTTCGCAACTTTCTCAATAATTTGCGTTCTAACTTTCTCAGGAGTTCGAGATATCTCCTGTGATGAATTTTCACTCATTTCGGTCATTTCTTTAGATATTTTGGAGGAAATCACGGACTTTTCAACAGAAAATAGTTTCTATTTCGCGCCAGTGAAGATGAGTTTGGAATGTTGTCATCAATGTAAACTGCGAGCTTTTGCCTTCAATTATTTTGCCAGAGAGGGAGAAGCAAGTTCATCGTTCAAGAAAAGTTGCGCGAGTTTTGAATCAGATGTCATTGTGGTCATTGCAACAGGAAAGGGAAGAGAGATCGCAGACTGGGGATGTTGTGTGTTTGGTAAGGGAATATTTTGAGGCAGAAAGGGACGACGGTAGTCGACTATTACCATAGATTGTCTTACCCAGGTTGTAAAGACTACAGTTTCTGCCACAATAAAACAAAAAAGGGACTGCTTTGATACTTAGGAAAGAGAAATGAGTGATGCTCAAGAGACTGGTTCATCTCTTGTTGCCTAAGTAAGTATTTCTTAGAATTGAATACACACTACATAGTTTTAATTAATGAAATGTCAGCATATCAGTGTTAAATAAGAATAGGCAGTGAAATTCAAAATTGTCAACCTTTTTTTCCCCTTAAAAATATTGAGGTGCAAAGTTAACTACTATTGAAGTATCAAAGATAATGAAAGTGATAACTTTTTTGTTTATATTAAAAATTATCCTGTGAACTGAGAAATTTATGAAGATGAACAGTATTGAATTAAATTGTGAAGTTAGAAACAGATCATTGTTGGAAATAATATTAAAGAATGTTGTTAATACTTTCCTCATCTTCTTCCCCCTGTTTTTGTTTATGATGAGACAAGATTGTCTTGAATATTGTGTTGGAAAATATACTTACTAATAATTTATTCGTGTATATATAATCAGCAATTATAATTTTTTATACTTGTGAATCAAGTAACAAGATAGTTTTATAATTTCCCTAAGTTCTGTATAATTTATCTAAGAATTGGTTAAAAAAATCGTGAAACTATTATTTATATTTCATTTCCTAGACCCTATTTTCTTGATAATTCTGTTGACACAAGTTAATCCATATCCTAAACCTAAAACCTACTCCAGGATTCACACTAGAATAGTCTTCAGTGGCAATAACTAGTGCTCAAATACTAAGATTGAGAATAAATAGATAATAATGGATTTTGCAGTCAACCTCTCTGCCCAGTTTTTGAGACTAACAAATTCCCATTGCTGATAAGGCACCAAACAGCGGTGTAATAGTAGGAGATGAAAGTATCAACAACTAAGAATATGCTGATGATACCACACTGTGCAGTTTCCGAGAAAGAAATGGAATTTAAAAAAAAATTCATATTACAATAATCGTATTTTAAAGAGAGAAAACCATTTTTTTTCTTTCTAATTTCAATTCAGATTTGCGAATTGCTTGAAAGATAATAAATCCATTTTGAGAGTATAAACTGTAGCATAGAGTAAATGTTGAATTAATATTGGGATTTTCAATATCAGATTAAAATTAAATTTTCCCTATATTAATTCCTGTTCTCAGAGAATTTTTCTTGTGGGCTGTAGTAGGTAGGATGCCTGTTCATTGATTACAAGTTGGAATTTCAGGAAAACTATTATATTACAAACCAATGTTCAGGACCGTTTTTAAGCTAACTTTGTTTGAACAGATTTTGTGTACGACAAAAATCTCTATCTTCCATTTTGTAGTTTCCAAATGTTAAAGTTTACAACTTTAGAAAATACTGAGAGTTCTCCGTAAATGAGAATTACACCAGTCTTTTAAACATTCTCTCTTCTATCCGTGGAAAACAAATTAAAGAAAAATCTAAAACGGTTTTTGAGAAAATATTTTTTTTTTGAAATTGCTGAATTTTAAGCGCGCAAGTTGCGCGAAAAAATCTTATTATATATATATATATATATAATATATATATATATTAATATATATATATATATATATATATATTACATGACTTTTAATTGACATTGATGACTTTTTACAAGAGGCTGAGGCAAAAATATCTATCTTCAATTTAGAAATGTTAACTTTCACAATTTTCAAGAAAATGGAGAGCAGAAAATGCAACTAGCACTATATTTTTTACCGTCTCTTATTACATGAGAAAATTTAAAGAAAAATCTTTGAGCGATTTTCAGAAAAAAAATTGTTAAATTTATTTTAAATTATTATATTTCCCGCAAAAGTACCCGAAAACTACATTTTCGGAACACTGATCTTATTTCAAGAACTGTCTTTAAGAAACAAAATTGATCTATCTTCAATATTATAGTTATAGGAAGACGCTCCCCCCCCCCAAAAAAAATTGAAATAATCTGGTATTTCAACGAACATCAGACTTGCACCATTCTCTTAAGCGTCCTTTTGCGGGCGACAACAAAATTTAATTAAAAAATTGGGTGCCATTTTTTGTTGTTGTTGAAAACGTAGAAAACTGTTGAGTTTTGTAGAAACTTTGTCTGACTTTATTAAAAAGTACATGTACTCATAAATACATTAATGTAAACAAATTGCCGCTAATGTATATATTAACGACGTGAGAGGCTAGTAAAAAAATTACATTTTTGTAATTTTTGAAAAAAATAAAAGAATAGAGCAATGTGGTGTTTATGCCATCTTATAGAGTGCATTTAGCACCATCCCTATCAAAAGTTTAAAGCAAAAATTGCTGCTTGTTTTTGAGAAAATCTTGTTTTTGTATTTTTATTAGTTGCACATATTGCTCGCAATATTGAGAAAAAAAGTACTAAAGTTTTCAAAAAATGTACATGACATTATTGAAAGAACTAAATATGGAGAACAAACTTTATTTGAAGGAAATATCTCAATCTTCAGTTTTGTAGATATAGGAAGACGCGTAAAAAATTCAAACGTTTGTAATTTTCGAAAATTTATTGTTCGCCGTGAAAATCAGGCCTATGCCACTTTTATAAACGTATTTTACTCTATTCTTACAAAAAAATTTGAAGAAAAAAGGGTACCTCCAGAAAAGATGGTAAAAAGTTTCTTTCAACCAAGTGACATGTAGTAGTTATAACTCGATCATAAAAAGAGTAAAAATCGCAAAAATCTTCTCAAAAAACAAATTATGGATTTAATTCAAATTTTTTCGATGGCTGGGCTGCAGTTAAAAAAATAAAAAACAATTTTTACCGTTTTCCTGTCTTTAAATCACATTGACTTAACATAATATTTGAAAATGCCTGCAACAGTTCAGTGAATTTATTTTAAAGTTTTTTATTTATTTGTATACATTGTTGTAGCCCCTAGTATTATTTTGACTTTGGAATGTAGTTACTAATTACCATGTTTTTAAAGCATTCTTTTCATTTGTATATCATATGCTAAGGAAAGGTTTTTGGCAGTTTATATCATAGATTAACACCATTCTATTCATCCATGGTATAGTAAGAACAGAGAGGGACTTGGCACAGTAGATATAGAGGACTTGGTAAAGTACGTGCACGGGCGTCATTATAGTGCGATGTGTATAAAGTTGTCATAAGGTCCGTCTTCACAGCGCCCAAGTCACGTGACTTTGGGACAGCTAGCAGGCATCTGCTATACAACCGTCTCGTACTAAATGATTTTATTTAATAAGTATCTAACATGCTTCACTCTAGCGTTAATTTCTCTTTTATTACACAGCCCTAAGAATGTTGCTTGTGGCAGAAGTTACTTTAAGTTATTCTGCTCTTTTGCAGATTTTCACATCTGCAGAAGGGCATTTCAGTCCATGATCACCCGTCCTCTGAATGAAGGAATATGATCCTTCATCACTATCAGTCCAGCAAAGAACAATTTTACAGTCAACACAAGCAAGTGACACACGTCGCAATTTTTTTAATACAAATCCTCCAATATACGTCACAATGTCCACAACATAGGGAGACAATCTAGTGTGACGTCATGGATACTCACAGCGACCACAGACACAGAGCTTTCATATAAACAATATATTATTAACAAGAAAAGAAATATATACACTTAATTTCCTACTTACACCCTAGCTCTGATAGACCTACTATCCCCTGATCGCGGGAGAGATCCAAACCCGATTGAGATCGGTTTCGATTGTGGCATTCGCCACTCCTACTTCTGAAGCGCGCAAAGCGTAGCTTCCGTGACCGATGTCACGCTGGACACAAAGTCCGTTCTGGCGCACCAACGGCTGGTTTGCCTCGATCGCAGGAGCAATCTTATCCGATTGAGAATTGGCGTTGAATCCGTTGCACTCAACCACTCCTCACTCGGAGCACGCACACAGCATCGCTCCCCCGTGACCGCAGTCACCCAAGGACCTAACGTCCGCAGGCTTAGTCAACTCGTGACTTGCCTCGCGAGCCGGCTCGCATATGCCCGTCGTGGCGCCAAGGTTTGTGCACATGCACGAGGTTCTCCCACTGTCTCCAGAACCACCCACTGGCTCTGTACACTCCGTTATATATGCGAGAGCCCACGTGACCTACTAGTCACGCCACCCCCCGTCTGTTATAACAGTGAAAGGTTCTATAGCCGGAAGACCCAAATCCTTGTGTCTCCGTTTCCGCGTTCTTGCCTTTACGGAAAAACCCTTCTCTCTTCTTCTGTGGCGAGGCTAATCCTCTGCCAAGCGTCCCCAAATAGATGCCACGAGCACGCTGGCTAATACGTTACACTAGTTCCAAGATTGTCTACTGACGCATAAGTCAGTTGCACCTCAATGCACAGTTCAGGACCTTTTCACTTGTGACGCACTGGCGTGAACTAACATTTATATGTTTGTTTCTCCTGTGGACACAATTTGCAAAGGCAGAAGAAGACATCTTGGTGATGCACCATATCGCTTGTAAAACCCCCAGCAAATTGCTTAGCAGTAGGATTATTGTAGATCGCCTTTGTCCGTATGCAGCTAAAACAATTTCCAGATGTCCGATGGACCAACTGTGGGTCCAAATAATTACGCTGTAGCACCAGAAATAACAAACAGCACGTAAAGGTACACACAATTCAACGCAAAACAAGCTACCAGTGTCTTGTGACGTGACTTGCGGCCACCGCATGATGAAACCTTCGCAGTAGTTTCACACGCACTCTAGTTGTATCTCTTCTCTATGGTTGTACGTTTCTCCACTCACTTGAAACGAATCAACGTGTCTGACTCGGATCAAATTTGACTCACAATTGATCCTTCGCCGAGCGGTGGATCACGGCCAGATCAGGAGTTATTTCTCGGCTCGGTCATCTAGCTATTCCAGTTTTCCGTATTTTTTTAAGCAAATACCTGTAGTTGGACGTAGATTCAGTATGGAAGTATTCGCTAGGAAGTAGGATTGTGCGTAATATTTGTTGAGAAAATGTTTTTTAAGATAGTATTGTAAATAAAAGTAGGGTTAACACAATTTTAGGTTAGAATTCTTGGTACTGGGAAGTAAAATTTAAATATATTTTGGATTCAAATTAGTGTAATTATAAGTATCATTAGTAAAATAGCATTTTGTTAGTTGTAGTTTATTGGAGACGCTATTTTTCCGCATTTCTGTCTCATTTTTGTGACATCTGTATTGCAATTGGCGTGGGATAGTTTTATTGAATACTTTTTTTAGTGTAGAAATACTTTTAATTTTTGTTGTTAGGTTAATGTGTGTCGTAAAAATGGAGTTTGTTTTCGAATGGAGTCATTGAAGATTTATTGTGGGAAGAGACACGAGTAATTCCCAAAAGAAGCGATTATTTTGAAATGTCACAGCGACAATTATAACTTTCTTTGTCTTTAAATTAAGCTTTCGAGTAATTCTCTTTCAACTGGAGAGAAATTGAGCGTAGTCTATGCATCCTTTCCAACGTCAGGTGAATTCATCACCGAACAATACTACCACACGCAACCGAACACCACACAGACGGAACGAAATGAAATCAAAACAACTCGTTTTCTACAGCTGACAGGTTAACTTCGAAGTATCAAAACGTTGGTGAAACGCACAGGGATCAGTCGGCCTTGACTCCGCGGGGGATCAAGTCGGCCTTGACTCCGCGGATCAGGATCACGAAACTCGGATCAACTACGAATTTGATGGTGTAACTCTGGTTGGTGTAACCGGCCACCGGCCGGTTTCACCTACGACTGTTCCGGAAGTCAATCTGCTATTGCCACACAAAATATCGTAGGGGGTGCTATTCGGAGGCGGGCAAACGTCGGGAATCATTGAGTGACGGCGCGTGCAGCTCCGCAATCTAATTGGGCCAAAAGCGCCCTTCGCCTGGAGATATTTTAAAAGGGAGTGACACAGGGGTCGCACTGTGCAATGGACCATTGCGACTCATTGCAACATTTTCGTCTTTAAATAAATTCAACTTCTCGGCCATTTTTAAAACGACTATTCTTTAACCTTTATGGCAAGGCTTTACGAATGTTGCTTTTGATAAACATTCCAAAAAATTTTAATATGTAACAGGCAGGGATAATTCGTACAAACATCCGCCGTTTGATGGATGAAATCTGCCCAAAAAGAAAAAAAAATCGCCATTCCAAACGAGGAATTTGAATAAAAATAATTGTATTAGGTATTTTTGAGATAGTGACCGTATAAAATGCTTGATTAGTTTTAAATTTTTGTTTGTGAACATTAACTCTTCCGGCTCTCACAAGCTGTTGTGTTCTATAGTACGATACATTTACTCGTGCACTTAACATCAATGTGTTGCGGTTTCATCCAATCGGGAGCTTATATGTCGCTTCCGATTGGATAAAACCGCGAACAACTTATTTACGTCACGTACACGTTTAAATAAATTCTAGAATAAAATTAACCCGAAGTACTATAATACTTATGCGGTACACTAATCATATTGTGCTCGAGAAATGAGTATGACTTTTAGAACACACCCTATACTAAAGGTCTAAAAACTAACATTACTCAAATTTGAACAAATCGACAATGATTAATAAAAAATCACGAATGTAAAACTAAGAAAAAATCAAACTCACTGTCAAAGTTGAGATTGTTGTTTGAGAATTTCGTCTTAACTTGAAAACCAGCTCCAAACCACACATTGATGTATTTCCTCCTGTTGGGCGGTATTTCTAGAAACCAATTTTTGTCCTGCGAGAGAGAGCAGTTTTCCAGCCCAAAAGAGCGGAATTCCGACCAATCTGGCAACAGGATACATTTGAACACCCCCCCCCCGTATTAAACCTAAAGCGCAAGGCTATGGTTATGAGGGGAAAATGTATATTTCATTATCTATTTGATGTGGAATTTTAATAGTAGTTATGTTCAATTTACAAATCTTAATATGTAGTATATTTAGAAGTTTCCTTAATAGACATTAATGTGGAAATGAAAAATGATATTGAAGAGTTGGGAGAAAATAAGTTAAGAAATAAGCCAAATTGTTCAAGATAAACCTTTATTCAATTTAAACAGATGTGTTATGTATAACTCAATAGGGTAATAACAGAAGCTGAACAGTCTTTTACGAGTTAAGATATTCAGAAATCAAAAACAGACGAGTCTGCCTCTACTTGGTGTGCTCAAAAGCAAGGGATACCCATTTACAACACTTCAATGTTATTACATTTAAATAAATTGTGCTCAACTGATCACTTCAATGAAACAAAAAGGTCCACAAAATCATCAATGTCCTTGCATTGCTAATTATGCATTTAAATTAAGAAATACATAAATATGAAATGAAGAAAATTTATATTCAACAAATGTGGCAAAAGATGACGCAGTTTATTACTTACAATCTCATTTGTTAGCTGCAGTAAAGAAAATACTAAAATTAATTTATGTACAAAGGAACAATTTGCACATATTCTGAAACCACATTTAACACAGCAACATATGAATTAAAACTGCAGTGTAACAACTTACAGGCAGTTCTGAATTACCAGTAGGCCACAAACATTCTGGAAACGCACATTTACTGATATGTGGAAGTAAATGTCTTGTTCTTCTGAGAAAGCTGAAAGATATTTCATTTGCTTTGGAATATGTTAAATACTATTTATTCCAGCTCTCCTCTCTTCTAAGAAATGTTAAATACCAAAGTATTGCAAGTGAGCTGTACTAATATTGGACACCTCCAAGATACCATTTTTACTATGTTTTTAAAAAACATTCACATTTGTCTTAGCAACATCCTGAATTGTTAAATATATTATTTTCTTAGTAACTCAATTTTAAGGATATGAATGGATGTGAACATTTCCATCATGAAGAGGAACTGATATTATTTCAAGAAAATTATCATTGTTTTCTTTGCAGAAATGTGGTTTATAAAATAAAATAAAATTGATAATAACTGTTTGAGTACTGATATATCTTCATAATCCACCAATCTGAGAAATAAGTTGCGTAAATTTTTTTTTTAAAAACTCATTTAATCATAACCTAGAATGCCCAAGCCCAGTACCTCTGAGAAAAGTATATTCTCAAATTGTTTCAAAAGTATCACTCACTAAAGATAGCATTGTTAAAAATAATTAAATGAACAAATGTTACCATCAAACATTCTTGCACTTATTTTGTAAATAATTAATACCCCTTGCAACCACATCCTTCATATCTGGCAGGTTTTGAAATGCTTTAGGCATTCTAATGTTACATAATTTCAGGTTTAATGATTGCACAATCAAATGTGTTGTATTCTCCCAACACGAAACTTCGAAGTATGACTCATCATTCTAAAAATGTATTCCATGCTGTGAGGGCACCTTTGAAGATAATGGCTTGTTTTGCTGGCATCAAGCAAAAGGAACTAATTTCCAATCATTTCAGACTCAATTGCAAGCAAGATTTGAGTTCAAGACATAGACAGAACCTTTCTTATACACAGTTTTCAAACATCATGACAGTAACTTTAATATGGTAATAAGCCTTGATGCATTGTTATAGCTCAAATGTCATCAATATTATTAAAGATCATTGATTCTTTATCTTCTGAAGGGAGGAGAAACAACAAATATATAATCACATATGGCACATTTTTTCGTTTGAATTTTTTTTAGAAAAGTTATTAATTGAATGAAAATGAAGCACTTGATACGATCACAAATTAAAGACAATGAACTTTACCTTCAGTAATTAAAACCAACAATAAGAAACTTATCTTTGAAACACAATCCTGGTATAATTTTATTCCTCAAAAATTCATGTTATACATAATTCTGCATAAAATAATATTAGGATTATATCTTTTCATTTACAATAATACATCAGGATGCTTGCAATGAACATACTCTGCATAATTCACAATTTCACTTCTGAGAGGAGCACTCTGAAAGGCCACATACTTACGTCTTATGTATGAAACCTTTACTCTAAAGAAACAACATTCCCTGATACACTAACCTTCCATAATTGTAACTTTACTCTCCTCTAGCAGAATAAAAGGTCAACTAATTTATTTCAACATTATCAATTATGAGGAGGTTGAGGAGACAGAACAAAGAAACAGTATGAGAATAAAAAAGCACGAAAATATCTAACAAAAAAAATGAGATTTACTAACTATACCAAGCTTCACCAATTTTGTCCCTCATGCTGATGGAAAATCGAAATATTGTAGTTTTTCAAACCAGTTTATAGTGAGAATACTTGAATCTAGATCACACTTCTGAAAATGTTATTCTCAATGGAAATAATGACAACACTCTCACACATTTGTTTCTCTACTTTTTTGAAATTCATAAAACAACTAAGAAGCAAGTGCAACATATCACTTTCCGCAGAATAATATAACCCTGTTCAAGACAAATTCCATTGCAAAATCAGTAGAAAAGTCAAAATTATTAAACCACAAAATAAGATGACATAATTCCAAATTATAGACAAGATTAAAAATAAAAAAAAATAAAAAATAATAAAAAAAAATAAAAATAAAAAAAAAAAAGGTGGAATTGAAAAGGAAGAACCAATAACTCATCTCCTACATTGTTATTTGATCAGATTTAATAATTTGGTCACTGATGACTTTCTAACAGCGTAAATAATACGAGACATGAAAAATAAATATTAAAAAAAATAATAGCAAAAACTGTCTTTTAAAAAAGTTGCATGACCATCCCTCGCAGAAGCCAACGACTGACATGAGCAGTATTCAACTATACAGTAGATTATTTCTCTTTCTCTCTCTATATATATAAATTACAAGCAAAAATACAAAGCAGTGGACCAAAGGTACTCAGTGGTACTGATGCTAACATAAAAATATATAATACACAATTACATGATGGAATTTCTTTTTCCCAGTACCTAAGCCCTTTTACGACTTCAAAGAGTAATTATGCAAGATACATTACTACTACTAAATATCTAGGCTTGTAACTTACATTCTTTACATGTCCTCTTTCCTACTCTTCCTAGTAAGGCCTCCAAGTGTATGTCAAACTGCATACCACAATATCCCTGACGCATCAAAAATCTTGCTTGCATTTGCAATCCCATTACACCATATGAATGGACATAGACTAAATTGCTTCAAACAAGTTTTGTATGCTATTCAACAAGGCAACACTCATCACCAAAAGTCTAACCAACTATATTGCCGAAACACTGGAAACAATTCTTGAAGCCTTGCTTCAAGCACTTTGGCTGCAGTACCAGATACTGAAGAGCACACAGCTCGCAACAGGGCAAATGCATATGTTTCTCCACAGTCCTTGATCTCAGGCTGGGGCATCCACATACGGCCACTAGCTCTTGTAAGAAGTGACAACAGAATTATTTTGTAACCCTCCCAAAAGCCACCAGCACGCCCAGTCACTAGAGATATGTCCAGAGCAGGGTGCCCCCAATAAACATTTGCAAAGTCCACAAAAGATGCCATTGCTGGAAGTCTAGGATTTCTACTATCGTAAAGGAAGAACACATTACGTGGTGAAATATTTCCATGAAGAAGAACAGTCATATTCGTATCAGCAGGTTCCAACCGCTCTAACAAATAGGGCACACACTCAGCAAGAGCACGGCATCTAGCAGCATAGTAGTCAGCATCAGGTAAGGACCACGATTTCACTCTATCTGCTAGCATACGTAAATCTCTTGCAATGTCACTCTCAGTAGCTTTTGCAGCTTGTGGAAATGCTTCTAAAAGGGAAGGGTCTCTCTTCAAAGCAACCACTGATGCAGTATGCATGTGAGCAAGACCATCTATTGCAACAGTCATCTGGGCAGGGGTGAACTTGCCTCGAGGACGTCTAAATCCTTCATGCACAAGATCATCCATCACCACAACATTTTTGTCACACAGAAGTACGCGAGGAACATATGGAATTCGAGGTGCCACCTTCTTGTAATAAGTGACCTCAGCAGCATTGGAACACCGTTTCACAACAAGATGACAGTCACGGGCAACACTACCACGAACAGCAGTAGCTCGTACACGGTACACTGTATTTCCACTGGACAAACGTTGAGAGATAAAACGAATAACTTGCAGAGGGGGCTGCTTTGGTTTCTTTGGAGTCGTCGTAGTTTTCTTCATGGCATGCTTTGGGGGATCAAAAGGTTTCTTGAATGTTCCTTTCGAAGATTCCTCTGCATTCTTGAAAACCGTTCTAGATGTTTCTGTTGGCTTCTGCATTGCATCTTTTGGAGACACTTCTGGTTTCTTGAATCTTACTTTTGGTGGTTCTGATGTCTTTTTAATAATTTTTGAAGAGTCAATTGGTTTTTTCAAAGTGCGTTTTGGTGGATCAATGGGTTTCTTGAAAGTATCTTTTGAAGGATCAACTAGCTTTCTGACAGCTCCTTTCAGAGGAACACCTGTTTTTTTCAGAGGGCGTTTTGGTGGATCGATTGGTTTTTTGAATGTATCCAAGGCCTCAGTCTTCTCAAGTTCACTCCTACACCCTGTAGGGTTTGCAACAGTATTGCTGGCCACACTGCTGCTCGAAGCTGCTTCAGCACTGCAATCAACAGATTTCTCTTCTAAATTATCATCAGATAATTTGCTTTCAATGTGTTCAGAATCTTTGTTCTCATCATTCGAGGATTGCCTTTCCAATACACTGGAAGTCCTTCCTTGAATATCACAGATCTTATTTTCACAATCTTTGTTAGTGCTTACATATTCTGAACTATTATCAGAAGACTTACTTCCACCATCATCACTCAGACCAGACATACCAGCTGAAGATCCACCTTCAGATCCATTACCAGAGTCTCTTCCTTCAACTGAACTACCAGATGCTCTGGAACTTGCTTCTCCAGCTGGAGCCTTACCTTTATTTAAACTCAGAGATGATTTGCCCTTGATGCGTACACCCGGACCAGCCTTTCCTTTATTCTGACTTGATGTCCGCTCTGGTGGGGTGCTGTCAGAAGTACAACTGGAGGAAGGCTTATTTGCTGTCTGACTGTTAGGAAGTTTATTTCCAGAAGACTGACTGGTTGATGCTTTGCCAGGAGACTCGCTTGTAGATGTCCTACTAACTGTCTGGCTACTAGATGCTCTATTGGCAGAAGGACTGTTGGATGGCCTAGCCACATGACTAGTGGATGGTTCGCCTAACATATGAGTTCCTGATGGCCTATTCAAAAGAGGATTGTTATAAGGAGAAACCATTTGATGAGGTTGCACTTTGCTTGGTGGATGGCCATGGGAAGCAGCTCGAGTTTTAGAAGCTGGGGACCCAAAGGGTCGTATTTGAGGTTTCTTTGTACCAGGTTTGTCATTGCGAATTGCACGAACTAAAAGGTCTACAGTCAACCAGTCTGGAACTTCTCCTTCTGTAACACATGCAACACCACGATAATGTTGTATTTTCTTTTCAGAATCTCCGTCTGCCTTAAATGTTGCGTCCTTGGAGGAAACCTGTTCTGACTGCACTGAAACTTTCTCCATCTTAACTGAGACTTCTTCCATTTTAACAGAACCCTTCTCTGAGGGAATATCATCCATCATATTTCCTTCTGCTTTTACTGACACTTCTCCCATCTTTACAGCAACCTCTTCCATCTTTTCTGACCCTTGCTCCATATTAGCACTGTCCTTGGAGGTACTACGTTCCTCTGACTTTACAGAAACTTCTCCCATTTTCACTGCAACTTCTTCCATTTTGGCAGAGCCTTCTTCTGTGTTAGGTGAAGACACTTCCATTGTAGGAGAAGATACCTCCATATTAGGAGAAGATATGTCCATACTAGGGGATGATGCCTCCATTTTTGGAGAAACAACATCCATCTTCATGGATAGGACATCAGTTTTGGGAGAGCCCACTTCCATTTTACCATTAGGAGAGGTGACATCCATTTTCAAAGAGCATCCTTCTGCCTTATCAGAGTTGTCATTTGCGGTAGAGGTATCTTCTGTCTTAATACAAATTTCCTCCACCATAGGTAAATTTTCTGGAGTGCGAGGGTTTTGGAACAACTGTGTTGATCCTCCTTGCTTCGTGATGTTCCCTTGAAAGTTTGAAGAGCCCTCATCCATGTCAATGGGCACCTCCCACACGAACTGAAACAAGTGAAGAAAGCAATCAACTTTTATATTTCTGACACACACATATATACACACACACATGTGCATAATTGTATGCAACAGAAAATCTTTTACAAACTATATAATAGAGAAATTCTGAAGAAATCATTCATTGAAAAGCAAGTTAATTAAAAATTTTAAATATTTGGCCATTTAGTCAATTTCTTATAGGTGCATTTAAATTCCACCCAAATATTACATGGCCTTTGTATCTTATACAAGTTAAAATGCAAATGTAGTAACATTCTACAGTGTGTGAGTAGAGGTTAAGGACCAATCTTACGAGAAATTATTTTCTACATTCAGATTATATCACGTGTCGTATCAATTTTATTGAAGATATTTAAAGTTAAAAATTTCATAACGATTAGCGTCATTTCTTTTTATTCCAAGAGCTGGTTTTGCAAAAACCTGTCCTTTTGGAAATGTAATACACTTCCAGAAAATAGGTTTAACAATTGTAATCACCACACTTTAATTTGATATTACTTTTGCAAAGAGTTTACACAGATGCAAACTAAAAATTGTATTTTTCCATTTAAAAATATTTAATGCACCATGAAGTACTCCATTTTTAGTATCAAAATATGGTTTGTAGCAATTAAAATATTTATATCAAGGTTTTCATTATAATTCCTTCATCTGAGATTACATTTAAAACATTCACTCCACTAGGTTACGAGAGATGATGTTCTGATTCTGCCTTATTGCCAGCTACCGCCTATGAATCAGGCCAACAACAAAATTATATTTTATACAGTTCTTCTTGTGAATCAAACACAAAAAATTGATTTCACAAGGAAAGTAATACATTACAAACTAATTAACAAGTTAGAGGATAAAAGAATATGAATTAATACTGCCATCCCTACAATACATTTTGAAACAAATTTCTTTGACAGTGATGAAGCTTCCACAAATATATCCAAATGAATCACCAACATTACATCTCCGAGTATGATTTTATTATGGAATATCCAATCTTCAAAAAATTGTCAGTGAATCTTAACGATAAACATATATTTACAAATTTTAAATCTCTTTGAAACAAAAAGCCCTCTCGCTTTTGCTAATAGGAAAACTTTAAAATATATTTCTCAACTATTTAATGTACCAATTAAAGCATATTATAAAAAATGAAAAAAACAAACATGAAAAGTTTGATAAATAAAACTAGGTAATGGCCTAGTCCAAATTTGAGTGGAAATAAAAAGCTTATAAAATAATAGAAGACTCAACAATTTACTCTGAGTAATGTCTACATTCATTGTCTGAACTAGCTCTTAAAGTTTTTACTACGCAAAATTGAAATGACTAGTTTTCTTTTTCAGCACAAAACTAATTACAAATATTCAGTCAAATGCAGACTGAATTTAACAATATTCTTTAATATCCACTCCCTGTATTTGTTATAGGTGACTCAAGTGAATATCTTGCAGGTGGGATGAAATTAAAATAACATACTTTCAACTACTTTTCTTAACCCTTACTTTAAATGGACGAAGAAATTACCCAACACAAGCATACATTTTTAGGCAAGAATATTCACATAACAAGCATTTGTAAAATAAATAAAACACAAGATTCATTAGATTATTATTGAAAAAGAACATCCATTTAATTAAGTATTCTCCACTAAAATAAAGTACAATTTTTGAAAAAAAATAATTTAAGTTTTACTTAAACATAGAACTCAATAAATTATACACTTTTAAATCAGGTCCTCAAATTATATTCTAATAACTTCTATAAAAGTATTTTTACCAAATTCCATACTTGATTGAAATAAAATTTCACCCATAAAGAACTATGAAAGAAGATTAAATGTTACATTAATTTTCACTCACAATTCATTACTTAAAAAAAAAAAAAAAAAATTTATATAATATATATATATAATATATATATATATAAATATATATATATATATATATATATATATATATATAATATAATATATATCACTATGCAATATTAGTGCAAATAAACAGAATTCTCTTCATAAGAATGGCTCAGCTATTATGCCCAAACAATGTCTCAACAGTCAACAGCAGATTAAATTGTCAAAAAAATAATTCACCTCTTCAGCGACGAGTAAGGCTTGATTAAACTTGATAAACAATACAAGTAATGCGAGTTAGGAAATAATCAACTTCAACAATAGCAGTTGTAACATTTACTACAACACCACAAAGTCAAGTTTTGGAAACAACTTTCTCGAACTTCGGTGGGCAGCCCAAGTGACCTGGATCATGCTTAAACATAACAGAAAATACATAAAAGAAGAACTGCTTGAGTGACCCACCGAGTGACTTTGGAGTGTTATAATAAATATAACTGTTATTGTTGTGGTTGATTATTTCCTAACTCACATTATAGAGTACCACAAGATATCTAATACAACTTGGAATTTAAACAATAAAAGGGTCACTTAAAGCAGACAAAATTTGATGTCAATTCTGTATCCAGTATACAACATACTTTTAAATAATATATCATCTTGAAATATATTTAAAATCAAAATTCATTTCATTTCAGTAAATGTATCACTTTAGTAAGAGATTCATTAGTTCATTGCTAAAAAATGAAATAATTGCTGACAAAACCAACTCTCAAGGAATGAGGCATTTTTATTCATTTCTCATTACTAAAAAAGTTAAAATTTGCCCCTAAAATATTTTGTGATAAATAAAAGTATCACTGACCCTCATATGAACCACAGTTCTATTAAAACTTCAAGGCGATTATACTTCAATAATGGTGCATATATTGTCACTTTTCAATTCTATTATCTGGAAAATGACAATCAAACAAAAAGAGATTTAATCTATCAACAATTTTATTACATTTGTTTGATAATGTCAGTGGAGGTCAATTTATTCATTAACTACCATAATTTAATCAACAAAATAAAACACAAAATGAACCCTACAACAGAAACTAAAATACAATCACATAATTAACACTATACTCTTATCAGGAATAGGTCTCAAAATTAAACAATAACCCATCTTTGACAAGACATATATATATAAATGTAATTACCTCTTCAATTTACAGCTGAGCCTTACTCTCTCCAAAGTACTGTCATTTTTATATCAAATAATAAAGGACACAAACTCTCCACTAGATACACTTCCAACTGGTGCACGAACTCTCATGAATTGACAGATGAGAGACGACCATTGAAACACTAAGTCAGGTGCTTTTACTGCCACAAAGTACCTGTAAAATGTTAATTCCTAAATATAATTTGAGATTTAAAGATCCAAATACTTCAATTGTCCCTCACAACTACAAAAGAAAGAACATACTATGAACATACAAAGTCACAAATCTAAAAAGTGGCAACACTAAAATCTATTATCTTGATCATAATCAAAAACATTTTAGCCTAGTGTCTTCTCTTTCGATTTGTGGAACATCAGACAAAACACATAAAAGAGTAATAACAGATCTGAACTGAAGAAAGAAAAAGAGAAATCAATGGAGCTTTGAATACCATAATATTCCGACTTACAAAAAAGGTCATTGACAACAATCGTTTAAAACTGCACATCACAGAACAACGGTACTCAGCTACCATAGGCTTAAATATAAATTAACACATTTCTAGGATTAAATGGGACTTTTCCCAAAGAAACTTCAAATTCTCCAATTGTTAATAACTAAAGAATACTTCTCAATGTAAAGCACTCTGACAGTCTAGGTTTATATTTCAATATTTATAGTTCTAGGTTTATATTCCCCAAAGTTGTACATGTCATTAGTTTAATATGAAATTAAAAGCAAACCATGAAAAAACCAAAGAAAATGTACACGCCATAAAAGATGTTATATATATTTCTATATGTATTCTCTGACAAACCGTATCAGAAGTAGTAATGATTAAAGAAACCTTCAAATACTGCAATTTCACAAGCTTCTATTACTGCTACTTGTATTACTTCTATTACATGACAAGCCGCGGCCTAGCCCAGTGGCTCATCACACATGTGTTTAAAAGAATTAAATACTACTAATAAAACAATCTTTGTGCAATACTTAAGATATTATAACAAAGCTACTTAAACACATTTATTTATATACATGTACCTCATTTATCAATGTACAAAACTGCAAAGCACATAAAGCATGAAAATGTGTTGTACTTCTTTCTTGTCTATGTTTACACAACTGGTAAATTTCAATTTCGCGCTTTTGTGACCTTAATACTCACACAGGGATCTTAGACTGTCCTAACCTACAATACAAATACATTATTCCAATGTAACCAAAAGTTTTCCTGAAATGAAGTTTCAGCTCTTTAAGAGACCGCAAAGGCTCTAGAAAAGAAACTGATGACAATGCAGTTACCATACAGTGAACTTTTAAAATTTTAAGCTTATGCACTACGTCTAAGACAGTAAATTACCTCCAGTTATTCTACGCTTCCAAATCATGACAATGCACAACAATAAATATGTTGCATATACGCACCTTCGCAGAGACGACGTCCTAAGAATCGAGATTAGAATAAGAAACTGACACACACGAAAAGCAACTCCGCCATACGCAGCGATCTTTCTCTTCTTTGTGTTCTTCGCGTTCTTTGACTCCGCTTCTCTCCACTTCACTTCCTGGCTGTTTCTTGCACTTGCTGTTCCTGCATGTAACCGCTGGTAACCTCGCCACGCGACCAGAGCGTCATTTCTGACGTCACACTTCATATCGATTGGAATCGAGTGTGGTATTTCGATATTTTCAGCGGAGTACACAAAAGGTTAAAGCAGATTAAAAAATGCCCAATATTGTGAACGAATTCTAAGCGAAACATGTTTGGAGTAAAAAAAGAAGAAAATATCAAAAAAAGAAAAAAAATTGAGCTTCCCAACAGTGCCCTAACAGCGTAAAGATTTAAATTTAGATTTATTTAGTTAAAAAAATCAAACTGTGTGACGTATGGCGGAAAATATAATCTGCGCAAGTTTTCTTGAGTTCCAGAATCCTTTCCCATCATTTAAACTATAAATAGTTGAAAAATGAGTAAAAGTTAAAGATAAATAAATAAATATCAAATTTTAAAAGAGGGCAAGATTAGCGACATTTGAAAAACTAGACATTTTCGTTGACGAGTAATAGAAACGATAAATGAACTGCAGATTTTATTTTCTGCATTGCTAACAAAATGATATCTCGCCCTTTCCTCTACTCCTACCACTACAAGCAAAAGGAGAGTTCAACAAAACGTGTGCATAGTGAAGTTTCATTTACGTCCAGAAGCAAAACAAGGGGCCACCCACAGGGGTGAAGGTGAGACAGGAAAATTGGCAACACACCGCCAAGCCACATGAAGCGCTAGTTGAAAGAATATCAAGCAATGATTGGTTAGTGGTTTTCGCTTGTTTTTTTGTATGTCACATCCAGCCTGCCTGCGTTTTCCATATGGCGGAAGAGTGAATCATATTGCCGTTGGTTACGTTCATGAGTTCTTTCAGTGTTCTGTGCGTTCATGTGTGTGTTTTGCGTTTAAAGATATTTTGTTTTAGCTGACACACACGCAACAGTTTCGAGTTTTCTCCATTTCGATTTGCTCGTCTTAGTGGAATACAAGGATGTTTCGCAATATGGAGGTTAGCATTTAATTTAAAGTGTCATTCACGATTGTATGAAATTTGTAGCCTACTGTATTCACATAATACTAAAAGGAAAATGTGTATTTTTTTGTTATGTAAGGTAATGACATTATGATTTGTTATTTAATGTAATATTTTTTAAAGAATGTTCATGAACATTTGTATACATTTCTAGAAAACAAATGGCCATTTAAATAATTCGGAGAGAAGGGTTTGCTTTAATTCCAAATTACCTGACGATACATTATTTGTTAAGGAATTTATCCGACGAACTTATTTTAAAAAAGTGTGTACGTTTTTTAACATACAAATATGTAATAGATGAAAAACAGAAAATACAAACTAAAAGAAAATATACAAAAGGCCATGAAAAAGGTAAAAAAATTAAAATGTTTTAAGTCTGTATTGAATATTCTTTAATATAAATTGTACATTAGAGGCATGATTTATTTATTCATTTTGATTCCTTCATTTCTGCATTACCATATAATTAGATGACTCTCCTGTGTTATTGACCTACGCAAGTGCATAACGAAAAATTATAATTACTATATTTGAGAAACATTGCAATTGAATGTAGCCTATTAATATCCATTAACTTTCGCAAAGACGATTGAGTGAAATTAACTTTCATACGCTGCGCTGGCGGCGGTTTTGTGTAGTTCTTTGCCACGCCACTTGGAGTGCTGCGAGCGACTTTTTTTCGACGTTTAACATTGAGGGTGCACTTCTATCCTTTATTGTTCTGTGGGCCCACCTCAGCATTTGTCCAATGGATCAGGGAAACTGCGCAAAAACCTGATCAAGAATGAGGTCATTGGCCCGGAAGCTGAAGTACATTATTTGTTATATGCATATTAAGTATTTTTAAAAATATTCAATACAAATGTAAATTATTCATTATATCACTGTTTTGTTAAAATAAACAATTTTTTTCTTTCCGATGATCAGTATAGTCTCTAATTGTGTTGTAACGAATATTGCATCATCTGACCACAATTCACTGCGCAGACCACATCAGGGTCCCCTGCACTTCTGTTCACCACGATGCACACTTAATAGCTAAGCTTCCACTTCAGACAGACTACTACATACTCACACTGACGGACTGACTGCTTACTCTCTGACTGACGTACACTGACTGCTTACTTCTGTCTGACTTGCGGCCGCCGGCAGCGGCGAATTTTACCTGGCCGGCGCCCGTCTCGACACACCCGGAACCGCCATACCTCTACGCGACTCGCGACTAACCCGGAAGATGGCGCAATTCGCGCAGCGAATCCCGACAGATGATGCAATATTCGTTACAGTATAGATACTGTTATGTAGCAGAAAATACTTTACTTTTAACCTAAATTTGGGTACCGACTTTAATTGTTTAATGTAATCTGGTAATGTGCTGTAAAGTAACGTACATATATATGGATTTCTGGTAGGCAGCTGTTGATACTGACGCTTGATCAATGAGATTTCTATCACGTGTGTTGTAATCATAAATATCAGTATTGCATGAAAATATGTTCCCATCGTTAAGTAAGCCAGTTTTGACAAATACTACAGATTCGTAAATAAATAGGCATGGCAATGGCATTTTTTCATTATTCGAATCATTTTCTTTTGCAATCTAAAGATTTGGGTACTACATGATGGACTTCCCCAGAATATTATGCCATATCTCAGGCGGGAATGCACACTTACGAAATACACACAACGAGCTGTATGAAGTCTGGCAGAATTTGAAAGAATTCTGAATGCGTAACATAATGAACTTAATTTAGTGTTTAATTCTGTTGTATGTTACGGTTACGGAATATTATAATAATACTTGAATTTGGAAAAGTGTTCCCAACCAGCAAAGAGCGTGTCCGGACTAGGATTCGAAAACCGATATTATTCGAGCACCGTAACTGACATTACTAATAAGTTAAACTCTGCAAAATGTCCCCCAATTATAATCATTTCTACAAATTTAATGCTATCTGATTAGCAGACAGATGGAATTCAGACACATTTATTTGTGTACAAAATATAATTATTAATAACATATTACAATAATCGAAAAAAAATTTTAATGTGCTTAAAGTTAGATATTTTTATGTGATAAGATTGACAAATAAGCCCTGGAAACGTCTGTTGAATTTGCTACAAATTTACACATGCATTCGCAATGCGCAATGAGACACAAGCTAGGAAGGCGTAATATTGAACCATCATATCAACAAATATGTTTGTAATAGTATTCGAGAAAATCATTATTTTTATTTAAATTTGAAGGTGGACTGGCAGTAAAATTGAAATGTTTGAGGGATTTTTTTGCTTTGTTGCTACCAATCTCTCTTGCAACATTATCTGAAAGCAGTAGCGGCTGGTGCCCCATAAGACTGGAGGTTGCACCTCCATCGAATGACGAAAATGCAATTTCCAAAATTCAGAACGCTGTTATACTGAGTGAGTCACGTACCTTTAGCACCTTCTGCAGTTTTGGAACGGTTGAAGTTATTGCAATGCAATTTTTAGGGAAGTGTATGAGGCAATGCGGCTAAGAGGCCGTCTATAAATTAGAGGCGATTTTGGCGATTTTTCGACTCCCCCTCCCCCCTTGGTGAGATGTTGGGTGATTTGGTTCGGCCCCCTCCCTCCTCCTAATCTCAAGCGAGATTTTTCAAAATGCGTATTTTCGATGTAAATTATTATTTAAAAACATAATTTGCTTAATTATATTTATTTAAGACTAGATATAACTAATATTTAGAAAATCGACTGGCTGAATTACAATGAATATTATTGCACTTTTAAAAACAGTGGAATAATACATTCTCGGTATATTTTCTTTAAAATTTCTATAAAAATGCAGGTAATGAGATTTATATAATTAATGATAAAAAGTTTGGAAATTTTGTTAGATTCTTTTTTCACATAACCGACATAAAAATTATTACCTTAATTGATACATGTTTTCATTTCTATTTTATTACTTTTATTTGACGAGAAGCTGAGGTAACTTTGTTTTTTCAAATGGAAATATACACAATTTTAGTCTATCATGGCGAGCGTTAAACCATTATAAGAAATGCGAATACTGACACAATAAATAATACACGTATGGGTAGATTATTTATTAAAAGTAAAATAAAATTATTCATCAATTACAAGTTGCAAGAGTCATGGAACGCAGTTTACAACACTATTGATACAATCGATAAATACAATTCTTTTTTTCAACGCTTTCATTTCATTTTAACACTTTCTTTCCTCTTCAAAAGAGAAAAAAAGCAATTCTTAGATAACACAAGGGATTAGGACATCATGTAAAAACAAACGATTTCTTTTTTTCGTTTCTAAGCATGTCAAGATTTCCTCCTCTACTTTAAAAAATACAAATCATTGTTAAGAAACGTCATACGGCAGGCTAAAATCATGGAACAATACCAGGATATTTTGAACTCAAATAACAAAACAAATGCAATATCATTAAAATATTTCGTTCTGATGCAAAGGAAAAACTGGAGCTTTAAAGGGCAGGCAGAGATGCCGTATTAGGCGAAATTACTACAAGTGGTTCGAAGTGTAGTGACCAGGGAATCCAAATATATACGTTTTCAAGTGACGTTTTTGGGGTCGCCGATAAATTACATGGCGCTAAAGAACGGGAGGGGGTCCGTGCCAGTGTTACGCTGCGATACATATGGGAATTATTTAAATGTTAAGTATCATTGGCGTTTATATTTTTTACATTTTTAAACATTTGATGAAATAATACCTTTTTTTGATTTCTGTACTAAAGCATTCAAATATTAACTAATTCATTTATTGCAAAAACAAATAAATTAACGTAATTAGACTAAATTGTTACCATAAATGTAAATATTTTTTCTACAAATTTTTATTGACTCTGTAAGATTACGAAGAAATATATATGTAGAAAACCCTTATATGTAGTACTAGTATATTCTAGAATCCATGTAAATTGGCTCATGCAATATCTACGACGGCGTGTCACGGTTTGTGATCAAACATGATCTTGTCCGCGCGTTCTTCCTTCACTCACAGCTGGCCCCTTTATTGTTAGGTGAAGCCAGTATCGTCAACCAATT